TGTAACGAAGTGCGACAAAATTATCCTCCAGCATAAAAGCATAAATTAATGAAACAAGTGTGGGTGTAATTTTGCAAGCCAGCTGAAATATAATACTCTGCATGTCAAATTTTTGCACCTGCTGCCAACAAGATTTGTTTTGTCCTTGCAACTTTGCTGGAAGTGAAGCAGAAATTGCTCACCTACCCAGGTGCTGGGCTTTAGTAACGCTGAAAGGTATCAAATGAAGTCACCTCGATCTGTGGAGTAACTTACTGTAGTTATGGGAAAAGTGGAGGAGTCAGAGGGGTTATTTCTGCCATTTACTTGTCACCTTTTTAATTTTTACTTATTTAATGTTTTTCTGTGTTTTTCAACAGAGCGTTGAAGAATGTTGATAAGAAGACCGTCAAATCCTTCATGAATACTTTTTCAGCAGTTTTTAGTGGTTTTATTTTTGGAAAATATATTCCTTGGATATATTGGACACGAAGAGGATTGCAGTGAGCCGATCAACCCACCAAGTCGTCTGAAAAGGGGCCACTAAGCTCTCCAAGTAGTAGTATTTTTGTACAACTTCTTGACATTTCATCGTGCAGGCAAGTTTGACTCAGACGGAATTGGCATTGTTGGCCAGTACCACGGTGACTATACGCCCATCCCTGACATTTAGACTACTGGAGTAGTGGAAGAGGTGAATAAGCGGTAGAGGTGGGCGTCGGAAATGACGAATTCTCCATCGCACTGTTGACTTTGAATGCCGTCTTTAGTTTGACCATGAACATCACCATGGAAGCAGCCTATCGAGGGTGGAATTGGGCCTTCATGAATGCACTTGTGTGCCTTTGCAATCGTTTTCGGCGGAATGCTATCGTTCCAAAAAAAAACACTTCCGTCCACTTTTTGAAAAGCTTCCACCGCTTAGCATGACAAAATCAACAATCATTCCAACAACTCCCCCGCAGGTGTGCAAATGGATTTGCCTGGTACCGGGGCTGTAACCGTTTTTATCCAAAATTGATTCAGCCGATTAAATAAAGCTATGATTTCAAAATCGGATACGTGGACTGAGTGAATCAGAAAACAGCAATTGCTGGAAATATGAACGATTAAGTGATCAGAACTTATGCCTTTTCATTCTTCATACGCACAATAAGCAGTTCAAGGCGGATTTTACGATGAAAAGGCAACCCATTGAAAATTAAGTTAGAGATGCTTAGATATGCATGAAAG